TTTTTTAATCTCCTTGGATATCTGTTTGAACCTGTTTCATGGATTCCATTTCTTTCCTATGTTCATGGTTTCCATCATTTTTCTAAGCTCCTCTTTTTTTTTATCTGTATCTGCTCTAGAGTCACTAACCATGTCTTTGATTATGGTCACCATTTCTAAAGTTATCTGAGAAATTATTCTAATTTGATATTTTCTAGAGCCTCATTCATCTGCTTTGTTATTTCCGCTGTTACCACTTCAGAGAATCCAGGTGGGTGGCTTTTGAATTGTTCTACCTCATTGCCCCCTGGGTTTGGCTTTGGTAAGCTGAAAGTCTGGGGTTGCATATTTCTTAAGTGACTTCTCATTTTCTATTTTTTTGTTAAGTTTAATTCCTGGGTTGATGCTTGTAAATTGCTTGTGGCAGGTAGCTTTATTGTTAGTATTGAGAACCCTTAGGAAATGACTACTCCTCAGAGATGTCTTCAGGAGTAGCTGGCTTTTGGGTTTTGAGTCTGTTGCAAGATCCTACCTCTTCAATTTACTGGAGGTGAGAAGTTGCTGCCTATTTGGTCTAGTCCCTGGTTCTTTGGTACTGGCCTATAGTATTGTTTATAACCCTTAGGCAATCTTAGTCTTGGCATACCAGAAAGAACAACTGATTAGAACAATTATGTCACCTTGGCTAAAATAGTACAATCAGCAGTAACAATAGTATCACACATAGCCTAGAAAATGACAAACTGTGGTAACTATTAATTTACTACCTTTAACTATGTGAAATATACTTGTGGTTATACAACAAAATCTAAAATAAAATAGAAAATTGTATACAGTAAATACACCCTCAATATGGCAATTTTACTTTCTGGGAAAAAATTTAAAAAGGGTTAGGGGGAAAAATAGAGATATAGAAGAAGAGGAAGAGATTTGAAGCAAGGCTGAAGGACAAAGGAAGATTACACAAACTTTGGGAAACTGGTAAACAAGACAGGAGGGAGAGAAGTATGAAATAAAAACAAGAACAAACAGAATACCTACTACAAAAAAACCTAGAAACAATGTTCACACTCATAAAAACAAGAACAAAGCATCAAGAACAAAATAAAAACAAAAACAAGAAAAGAAGAAAAAAAATGTCCACTTCAGGGCATGTGTCTGCTGTCACTGGTTGACAGAGTGGCCAGACAGAGCCCAGATCTTTGTTAATTAATCCCAGCAAGCCAGCCATAGATTTATGGTGGAGTACAAGATAATCCTAGGAAGCCTGCATCTTTAGTTCATCTGAAGTTCAGGCTGGTTTCTGGCTGTGAAACTGGAACCCAATTTATTCAGCCTACAACACTCTGTGTGCCTCCTGCCATTTGAACTTGGCTCCTTGACTTCTTGCCTACTTGAGCTCAGTTCTGCCTCATCCTGACACTGAGAACTACTATATGGAGCCAGACTGTAGCTGCTCTGAGTTCTGAGCTCAGTTTGGCCCTCTTCTAGATGACTACTGGTCAATTGCCCTCTCTTGTGGGGCATCTCAACCAAATAATTTACCAGCCACTGGAGTCCACTGTATCCACTGCTATGTTTCACTGGTGCACTTCTCCATGAGGTCCTCTGGGGTTGCCAGTAGTCATCATGAGTTTGCAGGTTTCAGCTGCCACTCCCCCACAGTGAGTCAGGGTTCAGGGAGAAAGCTCTGCTTACCACCTCCTTCTTTTGCATTAAGGTCTCTCTCTTTGCTTTCACTGTGGTCTTCAATTCTCGCTTCAGATCCTTGTTGGTTCCTGGAGACCCACTTCCCTCCTTCTCTTTCTTATGTTACTATATTCCAGCATCTGGACACCAAACCCAGCTGTTTTTCTGCTGTTCACCATTCTGCCATCTTCCTGAAAGTCCTCTCATGACCTTTCTTTATGTCTGTTTTCTTATGGATTTTCCATTGCCCGGATTGCCTCTTTGAGTTTTGATGTTGATGGAGTTGAAGAAGGGCAAATTGTTCATCCTGTCTGGACTATGTATACATAGGCAGTTTTGGAAGGTGAGCTTTGAGTTAGAGTTTAAGGCCTGCTTGTGGAGATTTTCTATGATGTCATTTAACAAATATTTATTGAGCATCTAGTATTTGTATTATGGGGGGAGGGGGGAATGTAAAAGACCCAGGTGAAGAAGAGTGCTTACAGTTTGGCAGAGGAATGAATTAAAAATATTCATTTAGTAAATTTTTGAATTTTGAAAAGTTAGGATTTGGTGCATGCCATCACTCTTTGGTCCTTCATCCACTTGCCAATCCTTGGTTAATTGGTTTCTTCCTTCCTTTTTGTACTGCAGTGGTTTATTGTCTGTGATCACCACTGATGTCTTTCTAGGCATCTTTTCCAGTGGCTTTTACTTCATCTTCTGTTACATTCTGATTTAATCTTTCACTATTGCCTTTCACATCCTTTCTGCTCCAACCAAACTAAAACACAGTTCCCATTACATTCCTGAGCATTCTCCATGGCATTTATAGAGGTGTGCATAGTTGGTCAGTTAAAGAGCAACATCATAGTTGAGAAAACCTTAATTAACTAGAACAGAGCTATAACTAAGAGTAATGAAAAAAAGGATACAGACAAAGGTAGGTTTTAAGGAAACTTAAGAACAAGTAAATATTTTACCACAGATTGGTTTCTCTCTCTTTTTTTTTTGCCCAACTCCTAAATGTTAGGTTTCCAGGACTTTGTTTTTGTTCTTTTTCTCTTCTCTTTATACTAGGGTGGCTTATAGTTGCCAACTTTGGTCCCTTGTCAGTCACTGTCTGACATAGTGTGTAGAAAGATTCTGAGGCTTTCTTTGGTTTCATTAGGGGAATGTTCTGCTTGTTTGTGCTGTTTCCTGTTAATTCACATTTGGCAAGTGATGACATGGTGCTGGTCCAGAGTATCTTGTCTATAGATCATCTTGCTTGATGTCATAGAAACCCAAGGCTTTGGCTGTGTTCTGTGTGCTAACAGGAATATTTCACCCCAGGCCTTATTTCCAGGTTATGGATCCTTATATATAAGAGCCTCTGGGCTCCAAGTGAAAATCTCTTAATTCAGTATGCTCAAAATTATTCATCTCTTCTCCCTGGATTTTCTGTCAGTGAATGGTACCATCTCTCAGTCACAGAATTAAGAATTCTAGAAGTTGTTCTACACTTCTTCATTCTTCTATGTTGAAGCAATCACCAGGTACTAGAGTTTTGCTGTTTTGTCCCTACTTCTCTGTCTCTACTACTTTAATTCTCTTAGCTCTTAGCATTTCTTCAGACACATCTCCCTGACTCATTTTCCTCCAGTGTTCCACAGTGCTGGCAGAAAAATCAAATACAAATCTTCCTGTTTAAAATATTTTACTTAAGCTGGGCATGGTGGCACATGCCTGTTATCTCAGCCCTCAGGAGGCTGAGGGAGGAGGATTGCCATGAGTTTGAGGCCAACCTGAACTACATAGCGAGACCCTGTCTCAAAAAAATTAAAAAAACTTTTTCTTTTTTTTTTTTTTTTTGCTTGGACTCTGTAGCTTTAGGGACACAGTTTGAACTCCCATGCTTAGCTTAATATACAAAGTCCTTCATGATTTGCTCCCTTCCCATCTTTTCAGTTATCCTCTGTCACTTTGCCACAAATGCCTTTTCTTTCAACCATGATACTATTTTTTAAGTTTCAGAATAGCTATTTTCATGCCCCTGCATGTTATGTGCAGTTAACTCTGCCAGGTGATCCTTTAGCTTTCTTTTGATACAGCTAACATCCCAACATTTTATTTTGAAAATTTTCTAATATGTAGTAAAATTGAAGGAATTTTATAATAAGTATAAATGTATTTAATTACCTATATTTTACCAGTATTATAGTACTATATTTCACTATACATAGTTTATCACATACATGTCTATTTATCCTACTATTCATCCATTGACGTAGCTTACTTTTGGTCCTTTTTAAAGTAAATTACAGGGATCAGTATTCCTTTCTTTTAAATACTTTGGCATGTGATCATTAACTGAGTTCAGCAAATCCAAGTGTACATTTGCTACATTTTGACAAGTGCATATAACTGTGTCATCCAAATCCTTTTCAAGATAGAGATCATCGCCATCACCTTGGGAGATCCCCTTGTGCTCCTTCCAAGTCAGTCTTGTTCCTATTCCCTCGAGTATTCTTTTTTTTATTTCCATAGAAGATTAATTTTCCTGTTTTATCCTTTAAGATTCAGTTGAGTGTTACTTTCTTGAGATCTCCTGCTTTCCTGTTTTGATTTAGCTATTTCTTTGGGCCTACAGCTCAAACAGTGGTTTCACTGAATTTAGCATAAGGAAAAGCTGAGAGTACTCATCACACTGTACGTAAATGATTATTTTTTTCTTCTTCTCATGGTTCTGGGGATCTAGGGCCTTGCTCACATTAAGCAAGCATTCTGCCACTGAGCTACACCCAAACTCAAGTGATGGCTTTTTTGTTTAACTTTTGTTAGACTTTAGGTCATTCATAGTTGGATTGATATCGTACTGCTAAGCACAATGCTTGACACATACATAATATTCAGTGAACGTTTGTCGAAATAAGCTGTATTGACAGTGATGGTTAGAAGATTTGATTATAAGGGTATTAAGTTCTTAGCAAAGTAAAGATTACTGGATTACTGACTCTTGTGAATGCTTTTTTTTATTTATTTTTTGAGACAGGGTTTCATTGGGTAGTTCAAGGTGGCCTTGAACTCACTGTGTAGCCCAGGCTGGCACTGAATTTGTGGCAATCCCTCTGCCTTAGCCTCCCAAGTGCTGGGATTACAGGCATGTGTCACCATGCCTGGCTTGTGGATGCTTTTTAAAGATATGAAATATCTAAGACAAATGTGGATTCAGACATATGTGGTGTATTTGTAGGTGTTCTATGTAAGGTAACTAGGGAAGCATTTATTTTGTCAGTATTTTAAAACCAGTTTCTGCCCTTCTTTCTTGCCCATTTATCTTTTTTTCTCTCTCTCTCCATCTTACCTGGCAGTACATTTGGCTTGGTAGATTCAGATGGACCTTGCTATGCAGTGATGGTGTATAATATAGTACAGAGCTGGGGAGTTCTCATTGGGGACTCTGTTGCCATTCCTGAGCCCAATCTTCGGCTTCATCAAATTCAGCACAAGGGAAAGGTGAGTAACGGCTAGTTGCAATTCAATTGCAACTGATAGGCTCCAAGTTGCTCTCTCTCTTTTTTTTTTTTGGTACCAGGGATTGAACTCAGGACCTTGTGCTGTGAGGCAGGCACGGCAGCACTGAGCTACCTCCCTGGTCCAAGCTTATCTCTTTTTAAAAAATACTGCAGGCATAAAAGTAATGCATGCACCTATGAATGTGTATGGTACATGTGTGTATGGCATACATACATGTTTATGGTACTTACACAAATATATATACATATACATACATTCATACAGAGTGTGCTAAAAAATGTATACATCAGGAAAAGAAAAACATTTATAAATATTTTAATACTAAATTTACTGAGGCATCATAAGATTAATACAAGTCTTTACAATATACATACATTCATACAGAGTGTGCTAAAAAATGTATACATCAGGAAAAGAAAAACATTTATAAATATTTTAATACTAAATTTATTGAGACAACATGAGTTTAATACAAGTTATCTTTGGCCTCAACAATTTCAAGAGGTGCTCAAAATGGAGGCCATTAGCTTCCAGACATTTATTAGTATGGCAGACTGCTGAAGTGTGTATACTTTTTTTGTTCTCTCTCTCTACTTTTTTGTTTGTTTTACTAAAAAGAAAAACTGCTGGGCCAGAGGTTTAGCTCAGTGGCACCAGCATCTGCTTGGCAAGTGCAAGGTCCTGAGTTTGATCTCTGGTTCCACAAGAAAAAAAAAAAAAAGCTGATAGAAAGGAAAACTACTGGTAAGCAGAAGAAATTAAAAAATGGATGGAAAGCCAGGTGTGGTGGCACTTACCTGTAATCACAGCACTCTGGAAGGCTGGGACTTAGTAAAACCTTGTCTCAAAATATAAAAATGGTTTGGGGATATAGCTCAGTGTGAAGGCCATGGGTTCAATTCCTACTACCACCATCACCACCAAAAAAAAAGGACTGAAGTATTACCACTCAGGTGTTACTAGTAAATGTTTGCTGTACATACTTCCAGTCTTTTTTCTTTTTAGGAATACATTGATTCATATTTATAATTTATTCATGTATAGTATAGTATATGCAGGTGTTTGAACATTCTTCATCTTTTTACACATTCAACTGCATTGATTTGAATTGACACATAGTAGTGGTGATGATAATGACAGTTAACATTTACTGAATACCTAACTGAGTTCTAGACATTGCTAAGAGTTCCGCTGCATACATTGCCTGATTTAATCTTCACGGAAACCTTATGGAGATTGAGTATTTAACCACTTTTTTTTTTTTTTTTTTGGTACTGGGGATCAAACTCAGGACCTTGCACTTGCAAGGCAGGCAGCAGAACCACTGAGCTAAATCCCCAGCCCTTTAACCATGTTTTTACCACTTAGATCAGAGGCAGCCAGTATGGTACATTGACTAAATCTTGCTTTCCACCTCTTGTATGGTCTGAGAGCTAACAATACTTACTGTATTTTTACATGAAAAATGGAAAGAAATATATTTTATGATACTCAAATTTTAATGTTCATGAAGCTTTAATGGAGCACAGCCACACTTGGTTGTTTACTGTTCTGTCTGCTTTTGCACTGCAGTGTCAGAGGTGACTTGTTGCATGGTAGAGACCATCTGGCCTACAAGGCCTAATATTTTACCATCTAGCTCTTTAACAGAGTTTAGTTACTTCAGTTTATTCTAGATTATTTCTAATTTTTCCCTATTATGAAAGTACTGTAGTGAACATTTTTGATGCTACAAGGGATTAAACCTAGGTCCTCACACATACTAGGCAGGTGCTTTACCACTGAGCTTTGTCCCTAACCCTTGTAGTGAACATTTTTATATCTTGCCCATATCTCTATTTCCTTTATGAATTTTTAATGTAGAATCTTGGGTCCAAAGGACATATAGAAATACAAGGCTTTTAATACATACTGATGAATCAATCTCTGGAAGGTTAGCGAGTTATTACTAGCAGTGGATGCATTGTTTTCCTGTGATTCTCAACACTGAGAAGAAGCCTTTAAAAATTACTTGCAGAGGTTGCGAGTCGCGCGGAACGTGCCGGGTCGGCCGCTGCAGACAGGCAGGTCTGCGGACACCCCACTGAGGTTGCCAGTCACCTGGAATGCGCCGGGTCGGCCCGCTGCAGACAGGCAGGTCTGCAGACGCCCCACTGAGGTCCCGAGTTACGAGGAATGCTCCGGGTCGGCCCGCTGCAGACAGGC